ATCCATTTATTGCGATCCTCAAGCCATTTGGAATATCGTCTATATTGACTGACATCATTATTGTACTTGTGTGTCGGAAGTGAGTATATTCTAGCAAACTCACTCACAAGTGTTGGTGTGCATATCTCATCACTTCCAAGGAATACCAGCATTATATTGTTACGGCCATAGTGAATAGCGAAGTAAACGTTGTCGATTTGAGTTGGCTCTATGTTGCTAATTTGCGAGCAAGGAATCCATTCAAGTCTTAAGGATTTATTCTCACTTTCCAAGGAGGATTGAACCAAGTTGTCAATTGCTGGATTAACAACTAACGACATAGTTTGAATTAAGTGTTCGTTCTCAACGCTTGTATTACATTGCACACAGCCCTTGTCACTTGCTAACTTTATTTTTTATTTTATGATTTTTCCTTAGCACTAACATTCAAATACCTATTTACAGCAAATGGTAGTGAAACACGTTCTCTTCATACAGTGGAAGATCACATATTATATTGTAAGGATTGTTCTGGAACTGTTGCCAGCCTTCAACAGGTTATTATAGTCGGGGATTAGCCACTAGGTGTTAATATTATTGACGACAAACGTTGCATGACCTGTATAAAACCACACCTTAACAATCGCTCCTACCGAGTTGTTCGCCATTAAATTATTCATTGCTGTGTCAGTCGTGATAGCAAAAATTTGGGGCTGAACTACTAGCTGTTGTGACTATAGTAGACATGCTTGCATGGAATAAATTAGAACATTCGGCGTTTAGCATGAAAAAAATACCAACCACCGACTCTTAAAATTTTTTCAACGATTAACACATGGAAAGGTCGACATGCCTGTAGAGCATGTGACACACGGCGTAACAGGAATGGCATACGCCAGCAGGGATGTATGTAAGCCTTTTATTTTGTTAACGAGAAATTTATTGACACGCTGTTGTAAAGTTAGAAATTAGTTATAAAAACGACCTTTCCTCATAGCGAGCCGTATGCTGATAAAGAACGTTAGAAAATACAGAAGACGATGGGAACATGATTACATTAATATGTTAGCTTGTGTTTATAGAGATTGTACCACTAGCACTGTTATTCAGCATTTATGTTCTGGCCCGTAGCGAAATTCAGCCCGGTTCAAAATCGGGCCGGCCCAGTTCGAAATAAGCACATTTTATTTCGCTATTATCACATAAACAATGTTAATTAGATGTCGCTTATTGGTTGTGATATTAGACAATGTGCCTATTGCGAATCGGGGGCCAGAACATTTATCGTTATGATAATCGACATGTTATACATAGTCGACAGCGAAATATTTTCTTTTTTAGGGTAGTATAATCTGACTAATAAACGTGGGTTGAAAAAGGAAATATTTCGATTTGTAACATGTCTTGGTATCTATAAAAATTACAGCAGAGTATATATAACTCATTGTTAACAAGTAAATTGATCTTACCTAACATGATGCTAATAATAGTCTTACTGAACATTGGGCTTGTCTTTAGATCTACTACAAATCAAGCCGAGTAAGTTTTCTGATTGTCATTGTTTCTATATTGCAAGCATTTATTTACAGATGAATATTTTGTTCTGGATTATTCTTTGATTACTTCATCATTACTTACTCGTTTGGAATGCAAGATCTATTTACACACAGATCATCTTATCCAGCCGACTCGTAAAGCTTTTGATTCTATTCCAGTTAAAAGAATATTGGCGAATAGTAAATTTACAATTCGGCAAGTAAGCAAGGATCCCAACAATTAGCGCGCAAATAACAACAAATACAAGAAACTTATTTTAATGGCGGTAGGTAAGCGACTTTATTAGCATCTCCCTATGCTTGTCTACTATGGCCTAATTGAGCAGTAGAACAGTAATTTAAAATATAACAATGTACAAACTGCTTTTGCGCCTACACCTATTAAAACAAACCGTGAACTTGTTAAGTCTCTTTGAAAGCAAAGCGTCCGTAATGCAAAAGAAATAACTGGCGTTCCTGTGAACGTTATGATTCCATACTTCGAAAAAAACGGCAAAATTCCTAACATACATCGAGCTGGTTGCCCACAAAATTTATCTCCTGAACAACGTCGCCAAATCGGAACAGTTATTAAACATGATTATTTCAAGAATTGAAGACTATGCTGGAAACAAAGTAGTGAGCGTACTATTCGCCAAAACCTAAATAGACTTGGTTTGACTTCAGTTCTCCCGCATAAAGTGCCTATTTAAGCCGGCAAGCGAAAGTCAACCGTCTAACTTGGACACATGATTACTCGCATTACAATTGGTCTTTTCTGACGAAACTACAACCCGTGCATGGTCACGCAAAAAAGAACCTATGGTGAAGCATCCCTTTAAGGCTCACGTTTGCTGCGATTAACATTAAGGGAAAAATCGGAATGCACATATTCACAGAGAATTTAAACCGTCATTTATAGCGAATAATTATTGTTGCTGGGTCACAAATTGGTATTTCAGCAGGGTAACATACATCCATGATGCTCAGGGCGACTTGGAATCTCGTCTTCCATGTTGCGTTCTTTCTTACAGTCCAGATCTCAATCCAATTGAGAATGTCTGGGCTGTTTTGAAGCATAATATTGAAAAACGCATAAAAAAAAAGAAAAATTCTCAACCTCATTTAATTAGGGAGGTATGGGATGATCTCGAAAAAAACGGCATAGTTAATTGCATTGATGCTGAAGGAGGTCATCCCAAATATGAAATTCGTAGCCATAATGTTTAGAAATTTTTATCTTTCAAACTGAGCTCATTACATCCCAAAAGCTGACCGCCGTTACTTTTGCCGGGACTGTACAAGTTTCGATATTAAAATGGCAAGAGAGAAAAAAAAGGCTCAAGTTCTTATGTAATGTCTGCTTTCGGACAGTTTATAGTATAAATAAACTAAGCATCACACTGCTGTTGTGGCTTATTGATGTGTCCTGTTGTGTCTTAATGCATTCCATCTCGTTCTGTTTCGTATTAATAAATTCAAATTGATGACCTCATATACGTCATTTCAAAGAGACCATTCACGAATGTCCATTATAAAAATTTCGACCAATGGTGACCCGATGCGAGAATTATCTTTTTACTTGCTTTGGGTTTAGTTTATAATTATTTATTATTTACCATTTATGCAGGTAATTGTTTATCCTCACGTGAATGCGGAGACAATTTCGATACAATCCAGGCGCAATAAACACACTTTATACTTTTCCCTTTTCTCCTCTCTATCTTTTTAATCCTTTCGTCTTAATTCTAATTCCATTCATAGATGTCTGCTTTAAAACGTACACCAACGCGGGCACGTAGTCCACACATACAACAAACACCGAGCCCGGCACCGTCACCAAACTATTCTTACCCAACAACACCTACCAGCTCCACTCCACCGCGCGCAGAGACACCAATCACACCAACTACGCCAGGAGCTAATCGTCAGAATGTCCAAGTCACAGTACGAGTGCGTCCCCCTAATGACGTTGAGCTTAACCGCGGCGAGACTGAAGTTTGGGAAGTAAACAACGACAGCGGTCGTATTTGTTTAGACGCAGCCTATGCAGAGCGTAATAGGCGGCCGCGTGCAGAGTATTATTATGGTAACTACGATGAAGAATAGAGAGAAATGTTGATATGAATGAAGATCGGCTGAACATTAATAAACGGAGGGAACAAGAAAGAGTAAGCGAGGTGGACGTTGTTGTTAATTACTTTTCTTTGCATTGTAGATGAAGTATTTGTAGGAAGTGATAATCGTGCGCTCTTTCAAAAAGGAATACAAGAAACTGTGCTGTAAGTATTCGGTGAATCATTACTCTAGTGTTTCGTTGTGTATAGCATGATAGTCTGTTGTAACGGTTGGATTAATCTGATAATTTGTCTGCGTATTCATTACTTTTAGTGCCACAATGGAAGGATACAATGGTTAGTGGTTCACTGGTTTTCCAAAGCGTCTGATAGTGGAATCAGCTTCAGATCTGATGACGGGTTGTAATGATTCTTATGAAAATGCATTAGTGCACATGTTATGAACAGGCTATAAGGAATATTGTGACTGCCATAGCTATGACAAATCAGCTATATTCGATTCATTAGTAATTACTTTTGTTCAATTATGATCTTATCAAAGGTACTGTTTTTGCTTACGGTCAAACAAGTTCAGGAAAGACATATGTAAGTTACATTAAATGGATTTACTGATTTCAATATGCGAAATACTTATGGACCATTTTTATTATGATGACAGACAATGGTAAGGAAGAGACTGAACTCGTTGACATTTGATACTAGCATATGCTCTTATCCTACTAAAATTGTTAAAATAAACTCAATTTGACATACATGTTCGCTAGTCTGGTAAGTATTATAGCATTTTTTGTTTCAGCAAACGAATGGTTATCTGCAATCATACTAATTAAGACGAAATGCAGGCACTGAGTCACAACCTGGAGTTATACCTCAAGCAGTCGATACAGTTTTTCAATACATTAGTAATGTAAATATTTGATAAAATATTGCTGCTTCTACAAAATCCAACGCAAATTCTAACCGCAATATTAATAACGCATACGTTATTACAAGTGCACTGAGAAAAGTTTTCTTCTTCGTGTGGCTTATATGGAAATATATAATGAGACAGTCAGAGATCTGTTATGTCCCGAAACAGGAGAATTAAGAATACACGAAGACAAAAAGGTAATTACACTGAAATGTGTGAGAATATTAATTGGTGTTACATCTGTGGAATACATTAATAGTTTCTAAGCATTTCTCTCCTCCGTGTAGAGAGGTGTGTATGTCACTCCATTAAAAGAAATTGTCGTCTCAACGCCAAGGCAAGTTCTAAAAGCAATAAACAGGGGCGAAGGTATAGTCTTGTTTAATTTATAGCAAGAGGGTGCATATGGTCCATCCCTAGGAATACCTTATTAATGAACAATGTACCCTTCTTTCAATAGCGAATCGATCAACTGGTTCTACCGATTGGAATGAAAGAAGCAGTCGATCGCATACAATATTTCAAATGGTAATTTTAGATAAAAAGACCCACACAGTTAGACAAGATCTTTATGAATTTATAGAATCAGTTTGCTGTGACATAGATAATCGAAAGCACAGATGACATTGCAACAACGAAATCTGCTCTGCAAAAACGGTACTCGGTCGGTGTTCCTAAATTAGCTGGAGGCTCAGTGACAGTTTCCGTATTGGTAAGTGTCAAGGCACGGCAAGTAGTCCAGAGCAGATTATAAGATTACCACTGATGTATTATCTTTCTACTTAGAACTTGATCGACCTGGCTGGATCTGAAAAAGCGGCTTCTTCCGCTGATCGTCGAAAAGAAGGATCGTTTATTAACAAGAGGTATGTCCACTAGTAGCTATGGCTGTAAGTGTTAATTGGTGTGCGAATAACTTTTCTCTGAATAATATTTGTCTGATTATTTTAGTTTGTTAACTTTAGCGAGCGTGATCTCAAAATTAACAGACAATAGTGGGTGAGTAAAGAAAGTGACACTATTTATTAGATCATAAAATGTGATTGTAATAAATGATATATTGAGCGCATCATTAACATTCTGGTCGACTGTTATTTCTTTACTATTTCGCGATTTCCAGTGGTCACGTTCCATTTCGAGATTCAAAGTTGACTCGAATCCTCCAGAACTCTCTCAGTGGAAATGCGCGCGTGGCTGTCATATGTACAATATCTCCTGCTGCACTCAACAGCGAAGAATCGACGAATACACTGAAATTCGCATCAAGGGTGAAAAAAGTTGTTACCAAAGCTCAGACAAATCAGGTGAGCATTTATGACTACATTTATATGTAATATAATGACCTACGCCTTTGAATCGACTATTAATCTGGTACTATTATGGTTCAGGTTATGGATGATAATGCTTTGATTAAGAAATATAAGGCTGAAATTGATGAATTAAGAGCTCAATTAGCCACAACCGAGAACAAGATTAAGAGTAGTGACGACGCCGAGTCATTTGAACGCGTAGGTGCACTCCGACAGGCGATCGTATCAGAACGACGAAAGGTAAACGTAACTATAAGATGAAATTCGTTTTAACGAATGTTTATTTACAAATTTCTTTCGTAATATACTATATTAACAGCATGAAGAAGAGCAGAAAGAATGGCAGCTCACTCAAACTGCTCTTAAAGAGCGTATTGATCATCTCACCAAGTTGATCTTGACAAATGAATCTTTTGTGCAGAAAAAAGCTATTATTGAACCTAAGCGACAAGAAGAGCCCCTAAAACAGGTTTGTTGACGTGTTTACCATATAGGAATATGTTTTTACATTGTTACATTGTTACAATGTTACTAAATCCGCCTTTTTTTTTCGATAGAAAATAGCCATATTGGAATCCGAACTCTCCCAAAAGAATAATCTCATTAAAAAACTTCAATCTCAAGTTTCGTCCGCACACCCAAGTCTCGTATCCACTGATGTGCAAAAATCACGCGACGAGATCAAAAAGTTTTGGCATAAAATGGAAGACAAACTCCGTAACGTGCTGCTTCTAGAGTTAAACCAGTCACCTTCACCAAAACAAAATTCTGATCTTCGGAATTCTCGCGCAGAGTATGAAAAACTAAGCTCCGAAATGGAGAATCATGTGTTTACTCTGGTCTCGCGTGAGTCAAATCCACTTCGAGCTACTGAAACTGAACTTGAAATGCTCAGAGCCGAAAATTTGCGCTTATCAAGACAAGTCAAAGAACAAGAATCGGCTATTGTGGCATTCGAAAGCGAAAGAATAAACGCATCTCTCAAGACGACGGAACAACGCACAAGAGATGAGACAAGAGCTGAACAGAGCGACTTGCGTAGGCAGATTGAAATTGTGAAATCGGAGAAAGAAGCTCTAAGAAAAAAATTACAAGATCAGGAACGCCTAATGACCGAATATCAGGAAAAAATAGAATCGCTCGAGACAGAGACCAAACAAGCAAAGGGACACTCACGTAGTGGTAGCAATAATGGAGTTCAAGCTGAATATAGCAAAACCATACAACGTCAACAACAAATCATCAAGACACGTGATCAGGAAATTCGATCCAAAGAAGCCACTATATCTGAACTCAAAGAGCAAATCCGACGCATGGGACTCAACCAATTCGAAAGGTCAGCGCCGAGATCTTACATTAAAGAAGTCGTATTAGAGCCGAATCCTAACCCTATCGAGTGGCTTAAGACAGGCAATGAAACTGCAACCGTATTTAAGGATGAATCAAAGGGTAATTGTGCAGTGATTATTTACTGGGTTTGGTGGATAATGCCATTTGTTGTGTTTCTTATGTGTGTTCTTTCATTTTTTGTTTCTATATCTATGTCTTCTACTATGAATGATAATATTTGGGCGAACAGTTGGTTGAGTTTAGCGCTCGACTGCTTGCCTGTGTAAATTTATAATGTTTCATACTTCTCTCCTCTTAGCAAACACATAAACATAATAGGTCAGTGACGTTGATCATATGAGTGTATTCAGAATTCGTCACGGCATTTAATTTTGTACAGAGCAAAAGCATTGATATCAACTAATTCATTTGTTGGCTAATAAAAATAATTTCGATCATAAGACACTATACAGTAAAACGGTCGATGAATATTCGGATGGTGTAGATTACTCCACTTGTACTATTATTTCGGAACCAACGACGCGATGTCATTCGCGCGGGTGCGCGATGAAGAACATATTGAGTTGGATCCATTGTATTCTCGGATATAATAATATTGTATACAGCTTGAACATTATGGGTTATAGACGAAAGCTGCTAGACAGTGTGCAATGAATTTGGGGTTCTGTGATAGATTTTCTGCGCCTATTTCGTATAGGGAGAATCGCAAGTTATTATTTTTCACTTCATTTCAATTTTGCTTTGTTTTCAATCTCAGTGGTTAGTGAATCCGTTTAATCTTTCTTCTTTTTCTGATTACAATATCTTTATTCATGGTGTTTCCGTGAGCCTCCCATGGTATGCGCAGGCGCATTTTTGAGAGGTAATGATATTGTATACCACTAATATTTCTTTCTATCTTTGTTCTCTGATAGTAACATTTGGTAGTGACTTGCATTAAATGGTAGTGGGAAATATATTCAAATAGATAGAGTCAAATATATTGGCACTAGACAAATAAAGCTAGTCGTACTAATTTCACATTGACAGTGTGTGACGAATTCTCGGCACAGAGCCGAATTGGCAATTTATTCTTGTTTTGTATAGACAAATAAATTGATGATCGTATATTCCAAGAACCCAATTTTATTTGTTGTGAATAAGTTGAGCATGATTTGAACTACTTAAAACTTGTGTAGAATCCACTATTACAAAAATGTACTTCATGCTGAATTAACACAGTTTGTCTTGGCAGGTTCATCACTTGCAAAAATTTCCACCTTGAGCTTTCTTTAAACACTTCTAAGCCGTGATTTTTATTAGTTTTGTGGAGGCAACATAATATTAATCCCAAAAATCTATTTATGATTTTCATTTATATCGTGTAACCGACCGCGTGAACTTCAAAAGACCATTGATCGGATAATAAAGTATCCAAATTGCATTAATATATGACTTGATTTACCCAATTCCGACTATTTTCTAAAGAAGTCCAAAAGACACAAATTATAATGTAATAATTCTTCTATTCGATGCCATTCTTTCTTATGTTCTGTCAAAATAGCCCGTATTGGATCTCCCAATACACTAAAGTTGGCAATAACAACATCGCCATGAATCTTGAGGAAGTGGTTCAAGTATGATTGTACCAATTCGAAATCTTTTTTGGTTTTTAAACGCGATTGTATCGCCTCCAAGAACATTCGCAAGTCAGCAAAGTCATCTTCCATTGACAACGAACGCAGCTCAAAGTCAATATTCGCCGGGTTTAAGGTTTTCACGTAGTCGAAGAAATCCCCGTCTGTGTGTGAATATGTAAAGAATGATGGGTGTGAATCATACAGAATATGGTAAAAACCTTGATAATTGCGATTGACTCACAATCTTTAGTCTCATATGCCACTTTCATCTTCTTAACAAATTCGGTCTCCAGGCGTATATCACTCAAGTGTAGTACTCTAGAATCAGACTTCAATTTTTCTTCGTTATTGGTTTCCTTGGATACGGGTACAAATTTATGATCTACTCCTGGCAAAGTGGGTAAGAAAAATGGAGTTTTCTCGGGTGCCTTTGGTGGTTCTTTTGGTTTATTGCGTGCCTAATTACGCAATGAATTCGTGCGTTAGCTGGTTGGCGAATATCGTGTTTAATTATCGTTAGCATAAGACATACTTTAATAGTTTCCAAATTCAACAAATTCTGCCATTTCGTCTTGGGGAGCTTGGACATTGTAATCATTTGATCTGTCAATTGATCTGGTGTCTCAAAAAAGGTACTATCCATCTGCCCATTTTCAATTACAAATAAATTGTCTTCAAATCGTTGAAGAAAAAGGTTAACCGAATGGTCTCCTTACACATATGTGATTATTGCAGTTATCGCATACCTTCGACGTCACTATCAATCCCAGATGTAGTTGGAAGTTCGACGGGACGTATTTCCTCGTCCGACACGCTCCGTAAAGTTATGTTAGCAAACTGTGTACGATTCGCCCTATTGAATTGTCCATAGTTATTGTGTTAGTAAAATATTGGCATAAACTGTCCAGTTGCTTAGGATAGAATATGCATACTGTTCACTCATACCATAGAAATATTCCAACATTGTCTACATGTGTAGTCGCCAAGAAATCTCCAGTCGGGGAAAATGTTAGACTTGTTGTCACATTCTCTACCTCAAACACATCAATCATATGTCCCGATGGCAAATCCCATGTACGGATAGTCGCATCCAATGAGGCAGATACTATCCAACGACCATCTGGACTGAAACTCTATTGTGGTATTGATAATGGCACGTTCAACAAAGTCGATGGTGAGCATCGTAGATCAATAGCAATCCGAATCTCAAAAAGTTAACACATACGATATCGGTAACGCGGTTTCTATGTCCCCAAAATTCTCGGACAATCTTTCGCGTTTCTATGTCAATAACTCTTATGCACATATCATCGCTGACAATGGCCAATAATTCGCTTTCGACTCGAAATTGAAGAATGATTATTGGTGAATCAACGTTTATAGTATGAAGGACTTTAGACGTGTGGAAATCCCAAAGCTGCATCAATACAAATTGAGTAAGATATAACTTATATAGATAGTTTTTCAATAGGCTTTAAATATCCACCTTGACTGTGCCATCAAGCGATGAACTTATTATTATCCTGTTAAGAGAGTCGCTTCCTATTCCGGTCACAGCCTTCGTATGTCCTGATTTTGGTAGTAACAGTAAAGTGCGACGTTATGTAATGTACAAGTTTTGGGTGCGAGACGCTTTTGTAATGGTACTTACTATCTGTTCCAGCAAACGATTTTCGATGTAATCCAGACTGCATGTTGTACAAGTCAATTTGACCGCCTAGTGACCCAACAAACCCAAAATTTCCACAAGCACTTATATGTACAGACTAAATAATAAAAAAATCAAGTTGACGTATTGCATGTAATTATTAAGCAGGAACACGTCATTAATATAGTCTCACCTTCACTGAAGTCCCATCACCTGTTTTAAGGACATGTTTTCCAATTACTTTGTTCTGGAATGACCAAGTACGCGCTCCATTGTCATTTAGATGACACGTGAGGATGTTATCCCATTCCTTTTGCTTGGCTTCAGCTGGTAAATAGTAATCCGTATTAAGTTACTTGAGAACAATAATATCTAAACTATCTTAAGCAGTATATGCTTGCGTCTACGGTAAAACAGTCTTACATGCAGCGCACTGCGTGATCGGAGGTAATTTTAATTCTTCAATTTTCAAATTCAAATGCTTCGACTTCTTTGCCACGGATCCTTATTATGTATAATCGTTGTAAACTAGGACGGATAGCGATTCAGCGTAATAGACAAAACTTCATTGTCTACTACCTTGCGAGAGTTCAACACTCTGAGAATCTCTGATCACTGAGAACGCCCTGAGTGATCTATCACCAGCTCCACTTAAAATCCATTGCCCGTCCTGTCCATAGTATTGAATCGTAGTTGGTGGTAAATGATGGCCGCTTCGTGACCTTAATAAACGTGGCACTCCATCGGCACTATCAAATATCCATTCCTAGTAAGGGACGTCACAGTAAACCTCATGTAAACAATGATGGTGCGCAACAGACATCATTCTGACGGATCAAGAGAGAAAAGAAAAAAGACCCCAATTTACCTTAATCGCGTTATCTGTACCAGACGTTATTAGTATTGGTTGCCCATTGAAGAACTGTATTGAAGGTATCATGCCGTCATGCGCCCCTTTCATTAGGTGGTGCAATTTCCTCTTATCCAGGTCCCAAAGAGTAATATCTCCACTCATATTAGCGGATGCCATGACATGCTGATCATCTATGTGACAGAGAACGTTGAAGAGTATGTCTATGGTCATCAAAGCATTTAGTGGGCCATAGTGGCTTACCTGTCCTAAAAGAAATTGAGGTCACAGTCCCTTCCTGCTTAAACGATAGTACTTGTTCATCCGCTTTGATATTGTATATAATTATAGATCCGTCTAGTAATCCCACGGCAATTACGTCAACTACAGGTGACTGGGCTAAAGTAGTAATTGGAGAGGAGAATGGAGAAAATGTGTAAACCAGCTTCCTAAAAACGAACAAAGTTAACGTTAATTAAATACTACTTGGATAAAAGTTAACTGCATATCATTTGATTACTTTGTGCGAAAGTTCCATATTTGCATAACTCCGTTTGTACTTCCAACCAGTATCTTATTTAAATATGTGCTAGGGTGAATGAGAACGGCCAATTGAAAGCCAGGGTCCAATTTAATCTCGGTAACCTTTTCTACAAATATCCGTAAGCAATATTGTAAGTATATTATACGTTAACTTGTTCAAGGTAATAGGATTATGATATACCAGCTGTTGTAAAATCCCATATTGCAATTGAGTTATCATCTCTGGATGCAATTAGATAGTTAGAAAGTATAGTCAATGAGAAAATATCACCGCCATCCCCCAATATTCGTCTGATCTGAAATATTCAATCAATAGAATGCGTTAAGAAAACCAATATTTGATCGCGGATACACTTGATAGGAAATTCGTACTTACTTCTTTTGCTCTTTCATATACGATTATATTCTTATTGCATGCGGCAAAGGTATAATCTCCACTGGCAGCTATGGCAGTAATAGGAGTCTCTGTCCGGGAACCTAAGGAGGTGAGATAAAATCGAGAATCGAACGGTCATTAACCACAAGTGAATGGTCGAATATTATTCACGATAAGGCGATGACATTGGAACAGTGAGAAATTAATGGGTTTGCTGTAAAAATCAAAGGTTTCTGTAACACTATTTCCATGCAACCAACACATACCTACGAACAGCAAGTTCAATTTGACGCACTCAATTGAAATATAATAAATAAAATATTACACAAAAGGTCTTTATTACATCAACATTGATAGACAGTCCACATACATCGTAGATCTGGAAAGTATTTCCTATGCAAGTAGTGAGAAAATAGACTTTTCCTCTCACTTGTAGTGAAAAAGGAAGTTCATTGGTCACGTATCCGAGAGCACGAAAAGGTTGGAATATGCGTGGAGAATGTGCATGTGAAGGTTGGTCTGACGAATGGTGTTGTACTTTACTTTTTTTAAGTGATGCAGAGGGTTCGTCGGGGGCCATGCTTGTTGAATTCATGGGAGTATTGGGGACGATAATTGAACAAAATTTTTTGTGATAGCTGATTGGCGGATGATAATCACTGATGTCAATAAAAAGTACGCGCAAGTATTTCACGTTATCAACGAAATAACATTACTAAAATCTGTCTAGAATAAGAATGTCAATTTTTTTTGTCTTTCTGCTGGCACCGCATTTATTTTCTCATGCTGGGCTCTTGGTGAAGAACGTGATTAATTTTCTCTCTGGAAATTCTGGAAATACAATTTCTGCTAAAGTGATAATGTCGTTTATTTTCGCACGGTTCGTGGAATTCAGTAACCGCTTTGTTAAATAAGACCAAGTCCAAGCTCAGACTTTTTGTCAAGTAAAAAGCTTTAAAATCTTTACGCTCTGGTGTTTAATATTAATTCAATTGACTTGTTTGAATGCGATTAGACAATTGTTTATCATTGAATTTGTTGTTTGCTTTATTTTTTAACACAGCGGACACGTAAGGCCGTAAGGTGTGCGGCGCTTAAGGGTTCCATTTTCCCACATGATTACAAACATGCAGTAACGACAAGCCATCAGATGGGCCAGCGCGTAAGATAGCCCTCCTAGTCGTGTTAAGCCTCCCTCAAAAAAATAAAATAGAAAGACTGAATAAAACTTGCCTTGAAACTTTCCTCATTTCATCCGAACCACCCTTCTCAATAAGATTGAGGGTTTTTTTTTAGTCTGTTAGACTCCTTCCGGAAGGAGAAGGAGAAGTCGGCTTCTTGCAGACGATATTGGTATAATCTATCTTCCGGTCGTGTTTACAAAAGATATAAAAGCTGCGTTGTTTTGGTGTGTTCTAATTTTTTCGATTCTTTTATTTCCTTCGCCAATAAAAGAGTAGTTTTTTCGTGATCAAACAGCTATGGCGTCTTATTGGAATACCTATTTTGAAGAAACACTAATGTTCTATTATTAGCAACGTGTGCTTGTCTATTACTGCTGATATGCCCGCTATGATTGTAATTTGGGTACGCGAATTGTGTAACGTAAGTGCGGTGCTGACGTGCTTGATATTATTCCTTGTGGCCAGGGAGGAATATGTCAACATAATTGTCGTATTCTTATCCGACATTTTTGGACAGTTTATATTTGCGAATTTCCTTGGTTCTCATAGTTGCGTTTAGTAAATTACAGCGTGTAACAAAAAAGGTTTTTTTTCGGCAGCTTTCGACGGATAATATATGCCTAATTTTATGTTGAAATCCTTCAAAGGCATATGGAATTTAACAAGACAGTGATACAAGTCGGAGTTTTTGCGGGAGAGTGCTCCAGAAATTATGGACTAAGCTTCTTGTGGGATTATTAAGACAATGTAGAAAAGCTAATGCCAAAAAATCTCGACAAGTTTATGGCGGAGGAGTGAAGGCATATTCCTGAAAACACTCATAATTAGTTTGGCGGTCAATGCAGCGACGTTGTGAGCTTATAATTTCTTATTAATTTGCTATCAAATTAATTTGGTTGTTTTATCTTTCAAATGGAGTTTTGTTGGTTAATCGTTGAGGAGCAATGACAAAATTAAAGTATTAGTACCCGGTTTTTTGTTATACATTGTATTAGTATTAGCTCGACATATCTACATAACCAATTTAAAATATAATCCTTACTGCTGCATTTTCTAGTACACTAACCTTGGTTATTTATTGTCCAATTTCTCTATTATTATAAGGTTGAGGGTTGGATGATTTCTTGTTCTCAAACAAAAATAATGTTTAATTCATACAGATACTACTCAAGGAAATAAGTTAGACGCTATGAAATGGCCAGAGCCCAATCACTAGTGAGGCGGACCCACAGAGCGCGATAACGTTAATAATACTATTCGTCAACATCTTTTTGAGTGTCACACGGGTCAATTCATTAATAATTATCATTTTCTGTCTAAGCAAGTACTACGAATTTATTTATAGGAGACGCTCGAAATTAGCTAAATCCCTAGACTCGACGCATACGCGAACAATTGTGACAGCACTCCGTTATCACTAGATCTTAACTAAATTTTGGAATATACAATTACAGTCGTCTCTCTATAGTCCACCATCGGTTCTCCTGAAACTAGTGACTGTAAAGAGGGTGTGAATGCAACATAACGGTAAGTTGGAATGTGCAGTTTAATTAATGAACTATCTGCACTGAGAGACTGTCCTAGTGTTTAGCCAAAAAGAAAGCTCTCTAAACAAACACTAACTCAAACACGAACAACGTGACATATACAAACTCACAGAGACTCTGTGAACTACATCCCTGATTAATATGGGACTTATGAACATCTCGGTTACAATGCATATAACGCAGCTGTGGATATAAGAGCGTCCGGCCAGCTGTATATAGTATAAAATCATTCCCTTGTTTGTGATTCATCTACTGTTATCTGATTATTAGTCGACAAATTCTTGACCAATCATCAACATAATATTGTATAAATGTTTTTCCTTCGTCCATTGAACTCCGCTCTCTAAAACAAGACCCTTTTGAAGCAGAAAGCATAAGCATCGAGGAAATGGGATAACGCATAACCCGTCAAATGCACAACCAAATACCTGCAAAACGTTCCGTATAATTTCTCTTTTTGCAATTATATCCTTATGTGACCTAACAAGACATCAGATGAAACAATTAATTATAATATGCCATGTTATATCATATAGCACGCACTACGAACATACTTTTGTAGTGCATTTGCCTCGGTATTCGTAGAGGACGATGCCGTATTTGAAATATCAGAGGCATTATTTATTTCTTTCATAAGTTCACGGTTGTCTCTGTGTCGTTCTGATACAAATAAGGCGTGGCGTCATCAGTGCGAATACGTTATAAACTATAGCAACCAGAAAAATACCTATTATCGTCAGTTGCACTTTTGACAACTCGGACTGGATTTTGACAAGTTCCTGATTCATCAACAAGAACTCGCTGACATACTGATCACGCTCTTGTACGAGCTCATTCAGAATTCTGCGTTAAAATTTACAAGTTATAAAATACAAACAATTTATTAAATTCAACATAGCAATACTATTACATACATCGCTGAAGTATCCGCCGTCACGTCTGAGAACTGCGAAATTAGTATTGATCTTCCTAGTTCAACACTTATAATAACTGCTTATTAACAAATCAAATTATTCAATAAAATCGCATAGAACATCGATAGGGATAGATATTCACGTTTCTACCGCCTTATTCTTTACAAAATTTGCTGCAACTTGTTTAGCCAATTTATTTTTCAGTGTATCAATCTTTCTAACAAGTGCATGTTCCGTTCGCACTTTTGTCTCGGGCTTTTCTACAACCCCAAGCAAGAATAAGTTACAAGGAAAGTGTGCTGCGCAGTACAGATAGAACTAAGAGAATAGGATACTCACGTTTCTCTATCACATACTTGTATTCACATTGTTGTTGTTTTACCCATTCAAAGTGATTAACAAGTTGAATTAAGTTCTTTTCTCTGGCGGTGAAGACAGATTTATCGTTGGCGGTTGATAACTCAGCAAACCCAATGTTAGCTCTAAGAGTTATCTGTAAGAGTTGGGTAGCTGTATCTACTATTGACTCAAGAGACATGTGTATATTAATTAATTGTGCAAAGTTGATGATGATTTGGAAATTAATATTAAGGTTACACAATTCCCAGCTCACGACTCAAATTTCCTTGTTTTCGAGCCCGTTTTACACCACCTTACTTTCTTTTACGAGCTGTGATCTCTACTTACTTTGATTGACGCTGCATACCATAAGTATAATAAGTCTTTAAAGCAGGTCTTCTGACTCATTAAGTGCGATGTATCAGTACAATGGTAGCGTACAAACCGACGCTGCTTTCAGCAGCGAAATACAAGAAGTTGATATGGAAGATGTCGGCCAGGATTATGATGGAAAGAGTCTCCGAAGTTTGATAAATCGGTCAAAAAAAGACGTGGTTGAAGTGCCCCTCAAGAAGACTGATCAAGTAGTCGAGATCGATCTGTCGCAAGTACATAACGCAGGAGAGATCTTTGACATCTTGAATCAAGAAAATTCAGAGATGTTATATTACTTATTATTTGCGATAGAATTCACAAAGAGGGATCAGGATGAAGACGCAATAGCAATGGCTGAACAAGGCTTGAACGCGCCTGGCAACGATCAGTCAAAAGTCGCTTTACTTAACCTCTTGGCCAGCTTATATATAAGGAAAGGTCGAACGCTACCCAGCACTGCAAAAGATGAAAGAGCAACTTGTTATGCGCAAGCCACTGAGCGTTATAACCAGACATCACAAATTGACTCCCGCAACCCTATTACATGGGTAGGCAAGGGCCTTTTATATCTTGCACGGAATGACGGTGATTTGGCAGCGCGTGCGTTCGACAATGCACTAGAGTTTTCTCCTAATAATCTTATGGCGCTATTTGGAAGAGCTCGAATATTGTATTTGAAAAAGAATTACAAAGAGGCTTTGAGGACGTACCAACACATTCTAAAGCTTGCACCCAAAAGTACTCCAGATCCACGAGTTGGAATTGGGTTGTGTTATAATAAGCTTAACATGTACGGAGAAGCTTATTATGCTTTTGAGAGAGCTGTTAAAGTCAACCCAGATAATGTATCTGCACTGATTCTGCTTGCTACCATGGATTTTAATGGAGCGAAGAATACAGAGATATCGCGTGAAGAGCGTTTAGAAAACTTTTCAGACGGACTACACAGACTCAAGAAAGCTCACAAGATTAATCCCAAACAATCCATGGCTTTAAATCTTCTAGCCAATTACTTCTTTCTCAAACGAGATCTAGAGACTGCTTTAGATTTGGCAAGACGAGCAGAGGTCTATCATGACTCGCGTCCTATTTTAGCTGAATCACACTATCAACAAGCACGCGTGTTCCATATATTAGAAGATTGGGAAAAGGCTTTTTATCACTATCAGCAAGCTGTCATTGCGTTTGATGACCATGTTCCAGCTCAGTTCGGTCTTGGCCAATGTTGGCTTCATAGAAAAGAATACAACCTGGCAAAAGAGAAATTTGAACGTGTTCTGCAGAAGGACAGAAATGACATAGACACTAGAACTGTACTCTGCGCTCTAAAAACCATAAACATGGATAAAGATATAATACCAGAAGTGCGTAAAGATCTCGAAGGAATAAGTGCTTTAAAACATGAGGAGTTGACAGACCCGACTATTCACATCGAATTGGGTCGATTATGGGAAGATCAGAACCTGTATAAGAGTCGACGGTCTTTCATGAAAGCAGCCGAGATCTACGAACAGCGTGGTGAGCTGGTCCCACCTGCCCTCTTAAATGAACTTGGTTATGTTCAATATCGTCGTTCTTTCACAACATCAAGCTCCTCGGTACAGAAACTCCTTAATGATGCCTTGGATTGTTTCAAGAAAGCTCTCGAGACTGTACAATCTCTTCCTGACTCGGAAAAAAACCATCTAATGACTGGTATAATGTACAACATCGGTTTAACCTACGAACAGCTCAACCGAAACGAGGAAGCAAAGGAAGTACACACGGAAATCGTCCGTATGAATCCGGGCTATAACAGAGCCCGCCTACGTTTAGGTGTTCTCGAAGAGAAGGATCGTAACTATCGGAAGGCTGAAGAAATATACAAAGAGATTATTTCTGATCTTGAAACCGACACCGAGGCACGCATACGATTGGCTACGCTCGCCACGCAACAACATCACTATCGAACAGCCCGACACGGATTTGAGAAACTCTTGTCTACGTGCGATAAACATAACATTTACGCACTGACAGTTTTGGGATGTTTTTGGTTAAATACAGCAAGGGATAAGAAGGATGATTACGACGAAAGAGCACGGGCATATCAGAAAGCGTGCGAATTTTTTAGGAGAATACTGCAGCTGGATGGCTTTAATTTTTATGCTGCTAATGGAGTTGCAGTGGCAATGGCCGAAACGGGTAGAGTTCATGAGGCTAAGGACGTGTTTATTAAAGTAAGGCAGAAATTTTACATGATCACGGAAGCGTTGGCATTATATTTATTACTAAATTTGCTATTTGTATTTCTGTTTAGTTGCGAGAACATGTTGCCTCATATAGTCCAGAGATCAACATTAATTTGGCGCATGCCTGTGTGGAGACCGGAGAATATGAACGAGCTGCGATTACGGTTAGTTTCATTCTGTATGAATGTCTAATCCCTTTAGATTACTCGCTGGCACATATTGCCGCTCCCTTAATCCTTTGTATGTCGCCCTGTCCTGAATTTACACCATGCTCACATTCTTGATATTGAATTTGTTATAAATAGTACGAATCGGTCTCAAAGAAGCGATATAAGCACAAAAATCCAGAGATACTTCTCTGGATAGCGCGTGCTCATTACCTTCGTTCAAAAGAGACTCGTGACCATTTATCAGTAGATTTGGCACTACGCTGGACAGAAAAGGCACATCATTTGCAACCGACAAACGTGTTGATCATATACAACATGGCCATGTTAGCACAGGTATACTGTGCGACTATCACTGAGCGAAATGTGTCCGAACGGTCTTTGAAGCAGCTGAATAAGGCAGTGGGTCGAGCTAACTGGGCAAAAACGTACGTGTTGTCGAAGATGGTAAAATACTATTCCAAGTGCCAAGTCTTTTTACTGACGATTGCATTTTTTACTGGTGAATAGTGCTTTCTCAACACTAATGGGGATGCCCGAAACAGAAGCCTTCAACGTAACTCGATATGAACTCACCAATCGTGAGCGTTATAGTGTCTCATTGATACACACGTGTAAAGCAAAACTTGATGAGCAGAGTGAATACGAACGTCTGAAGATGGAGGCCGCATTAGAGGGTAAACGAAAATACGAAGAAATGCAAAAGAAGAGGGCGCAAGTTATGGTGAGTTTCATTAAATGAATACCAGGGGAAGGATACAGAGTGATCCTGTCGTATAATTTTCTAACTTTGTACAAACCATAATAGGCCGAAGAAGAAGCTCGTCGTAAAGCGGAACAAGAAGCAATAGAGGAGAATCGCCGCATGATGGAGGAACGCGTAAAGATATTCCGCCAAGAGGAGAATAGTGACGAAGATAAGGACGAAAAGCGGCGTAAGAAGGGAAAGAGAAAAGCTGATGAGACAGATGGAAATAGTAAAGTGAGTATATTTATATATTAAGGTGCCAAGTTTAACGGCGAATTCGCTAACTTAATCTCGTCTCTTATTTGCAGTCGCGCGTGCGTACGGAGTAATTGATACATAGTCGAAAGAGATGTTAATCTCAGTTGTACATATAATAAAAACCTTGCCTGCCGGTTTATAGTGAATTCACTAGCCGCAGAAGTGGTTAACTGAACTTTTCAATAATCTCTTGTTCATTATAAACTCACAACCCAATGCATTGAACAATTTGAAAAGTAATTAATACATTGATTGCGACAGACGAAAAATATCATTATGCTTTATTGTTGGATTTCATCGCGTTAATAATTCTCCCATCCAGTCTTTTCCAATCGATCAACCTTGGCAAGAACGCCCTCCTCTTGTTTCTTTAAGAATGCTTCCATCTTTGTATAGTATTCAGGGACGAACGCTCCCAGCATACGCACTGCCAATAATCCTGCATTCGTAGAATTATCAATAGCCACGGTGGCCACAGGTATACCGCGCTATGTAATCGATCGAAATGAAGCGAAAAGGTAAGATACGGATAGTAAATCGCATAGTCCCTAACACGACACTAATCACAATTACTCACAGGCATTTGGACAATACTGTATAACGAGTCTACACCATCCAAACTCTTTCCTTTGATAGGTACGCCAATTACTGGCAAAGACGTAAGGGCTGCAACCATCCCGGGTAAGGCAGCAGCACCACCAGCAGCGGCAATAATAACTTTTAGACCCCTTTTTTGTGCAGACTGAGTATACTCTACCATACGCGAAAACGTTCGATGGGCCGAAATTACTGATATTTCGAATGGGACATCAAATGATTTTAATGTTTCAGCGCATGCTTTCATCACCGGCAAGTCCGAATCAGATCCCATAATCACGCCCACCAGCGGCTGGTTACTCGATTGATTATCCGACGCCATTGTTGTGTTGTCTTTCAGCAATGTTTCCGTTTGGCTTCGCAAGAAAAAAAGAAAATTTATGTCATCTTTATTATTATTGGTGATGGGAATCTGTATGGGTTACACAAATGCAACAAACTTGGGCTTGCGATTTTTTCTATGATGAGAACTGGTTATAAAAGGGGACCTTTTACTGACAATGTGTGTCAGGCTGAGAAATTACATCATGGCAAAAAGATATAAAGATCAGAAGTTTCTTGCTAGTCACGGTATCAATGTTTGTTTGGCACTCACGTGATAAATATCATTTACATTTTTTATATATAGAGGGCAGTGTTCAGATTGTTGTTATTATATATGGAGCAGACTGCAATAAAACCAGACAAAGTGAACATTCTATTATGTGACATAAATGAGAGGCTAACGTGGCCGAAAGTTAACTAATTTGACTAGTAACATTTTGATTATCACAGTTGTAGCCTATGCAGAAATTTATGTCAAGTACAGTTTTAAATTATAATAATATCATGCCAGAATGTGACTAAAATTAAAGTTGGCCAAGCTGAATATTAAATCATAACATGATTAATATAGGATTATTTCTATATAAAAATATTAATATGAAACTCATTTGCATTAAGTCCCAAGAATTACAGTACTATTCGAAGTATTTTATAAAAAGAACAAGGTGAAAAAATTGCACCTTAAGTTTTAAAATGAATGACACTAAAATTCTCCAGGAATATCTAGATAAAGAAAAAATGAAATTTATCAAGAATAAGAAGAACGAAAAATAATAAATAAACGAGCATTAATATTAACCCCAACTTATGATGAACCAAGAAAGAAACGAAAATTAGAAGAGAGGCAAGGAAAGCAGTTAACGTTCCTTATAGTTTCTGACTTGTTGATAAAGAACTTGTTTGAGCACATTTGTTGAGTCTTGATTTGCATTTCGCTAATTTGATGCAATTGTAACAACATAACAATAATTTGATCCTTATAGCATATTATTATTTTTATTATAGAATGCGATTGCTCTTGAAAATATAAATATAGTAAAAGCACCAGAGTGATTGCATGGGAGGAAAATACTTGGACCCAAAGCCATTGATGAGGATAACCTATTCATTGGTCACTCTGGTGCAAATCTAACTTTCGTTATCTTCTTTACTATCATCATTATTAATAAAAATATTATCATCACTATTATCTATTTCTTTATTTTCATTTTCGTCATCTTCGTGATTTACAATTTCCTTCTTTCTCTTAATCAATCCAACGTTGAATTGCCTTAATGGTGTTCTTCCTTGGGCTTGTATTGTGGAAGCAGCAACGACCTTTCCTTCGCCAAGTAACTTATGGATTTCAAGCATCATTTTGTTAAATGAAAATTTTGGATCTGATTCGTCGTATAATTGTCTTAGATCCCTCCACAACGTTTCGACATCTGGCGAATAAATTTTGTTCTCTGTTGGTTTCGTTTTTGATACTATCTGGACTTCATAGTCTTGCTTAATAGTCCCATGTTGTGGAGTTGACTGTTATAAATTACGCCATATTAATATAGCAACAGCCTGAAAACAAAGCCAAAAAAGAATTTGCTCAGAAAATTATGCATTTTTTGCGAAGGTTTTACTTCTTACAACATTTATTATTATTGCGTTTGGTGTGATTATTTAATTAGTGTTGTTTTTATAGCTACGAATTCTATTTGTCGCATCAATTATCATTGGTCACACTCTGAAAATTGTGAAAACGCCACTGATTAAGCCACTAACGTTCAGCATATACAGTACAGTCCCCAAAGGCGAAAATAACGGCGCGTAATTTTTTATAAATAAAAAACGCACTTTGTTATAAATTTTTAAAAAAATTTTATTTTTTTTCTCCTTAAAGCTAAATAATATGACTACAACTTTTATTGTAATTTTAATACTTGGTATGTGCTCCTTCAGCATCAATGCACGCTTGAACTCGATTTTGCATGCTATTGATACTATTAACTATCACTTTTTTATCGATTCTCTCCCATTCCTCCCTAATAATACTAATAAAATTG